ATTACACATTAAACCATTTTAGTAATTTTTTTTTATCAGATTACCGATTTAAGTTAAATTGTGGTCATAAATTATATTAATAACCGTTTGAGAAGTGCGCGCTGAGCGAGCCTGTTAAATGAAATTACTTATAATCATAAGTCCCCTAATATAGCATACTCTCAGGCGCATAAAATCTTTAATGATTTCTTGAGGGACACATTTAATGTGAAATTAAAAAAAAATTATTATTTTTTCATATTTCGTTAGATTATACGCTTAAAAATAACAGACTCAAATTTTAAAAAGCTAACTTAAATAGTTTTTAACATGTAACCGCTTAGTTCAATCTGCTTCGTCAGTTTAACTTTTAACTCGTGTTTCTCAAAACTATGTACATTTTGCCTGCATGTTCTGTATATAGTTTTCCATACAATGATCTACCAGTGTTATGAGGTGATTAAAACTCAAATTATGGCAGAACAAAGAGAACCAAAATTTTATTATTTTTCTATAAACGCTGCCATTTAGTCAATTTTTGTTTTTTGTTTTCGACCGTAGGTCATAGTACGGGCAATATCTTCTAATAGAGATTTTTTTTAGGTTTCATCAACTGAGAGGATGTTACTGCAGCAGTGGCGAACTTTGTTTTTAGAGTCCTCGGAGATCTAGTGTAATTCCAAAAATATTAATTTTTTTGTTTGTGTTTTTAAAATGTGTATAAATATACCCTTAAAATTTTAAGAGGGTATTCTGGTTCGGAAATTTAAAAAGTATTGATATTTTTTTTGCATATTATTGTAGTATTACACTTTAGGAATATGTCTCTAAAAAGATTTTTTGAAATTTAAATTATTGTCTGACATACAGCTCATTTTGTGTTGCGCCGGCAAAATCGACTGGCAGCGTGGCGCGAGCTTTAAAGTTGTTTTTCTCTGAACTACTTTTTTAAAAACGGTGTGCATAATATCTCAAGTCCTACTCAATCGTTTTACTTGAAGTTTTATACAGAGCTTCTTTATACATTATACTATCGCACTACGAGAGGATTTTCTGATTTTTTTTTATTTTTTTTATTTTTTTTTTTAATTCCGAATGGCCACAACACAGGGAAACAACGAAACATATTTTTTAAACAGCCGCCAGTTTGTGGAAAAAATAGTTTCTCCAAAATCCTCTCGTAGTGCTTAACTACATACTTCCTCTTTAAGGATGACTCAACAATTTCCATTTTGGGTTACTGGAAGTCCTGATATCCAGGACACGCCATTTTTTCATCAGTCCCCACTTTGCCGGCCTGGAATTTTTTGAAATTTTTTTTATATTATAATTAATTTTTACTCTTTAAATATCAATAAAAAACATATAGAAAATGTATAGTAAAAATGTTTCTTATTTTATTTTATCGGGTCTGAAAAAGAGTCTAAAATTCGGGCTTTTAAACCAGAATATCCCCTTAAAACAACTAATACAGTAGTTTTTTTTTTAATTCCCAAAAATCCCCTTTTCAGGCTGTTACAGCGTTCTAAATATGTCTCTTTTTGAAGGCGCACACCTAGTGTGGGATTTTTGGTAATTAAAAAAAAACTACTGTATCGATTGTTTTGAATTCAGGGTATATTTTCACATGTTTCAAGAATGCACCGTTAAAATTAAAAAAAAATTAATATAATAATAGTTATAAGAGATCTTCGACGGCGTTAAAAACAGGCCCTCAACTGCTGCCGTGATTCCGGTCTTTTCCGTGGATGAACCTTAAAAATAAACAAATCTCGTTAAACTAGTTGATATTCTTCGCACATTGACCTACGATTGATAAAAATCAAAAATTGACAAAATGGCGGTGTTTTAAAATTTTCTTTGAATTTTACGCCAAAGTTTGGTCGTTTTTGACCAGCCAAAACCGATATGTCATTGTATGTAGAGTTATATACAAAACAGGCATAAAAAAATTGATGAGCGGATATTTGTCTTCGAGTTAGCACTGCAGCAAATTCGAAAAATGCTGTTTTGAGAAAAACGCGTTTAAAAACTAGATGATTGGGTTGACTGAACTAAGCGGTTACCGGCTGTAATTCAAAAACTATTTGAAATATCGATTTGAAATTTTAGTATGTTATTTTTTAAGGTACAAACTATCGAAATGTGAAAAAAATCGATTTTTTCAAAATTTCACACTAGGTGTGCCCCTCAAATTATATGACTATTTTTAACTATTATATACAACACTGAGTGTTCAAATGGACTTGTTTCAGTTGCCTACAGTGCACCATTGATATTTCAAAGAACATTTGAGCTAAATTAAAAAATTCTCAGCAAACTTTTTTTTTGGAACAAAATTAAAATTGTTAAACTAAAGCTTTAAATTACTAGAGAAGAAGGTTAACGATTCTGTGTTTTATAAACTGAAACATTAAATATTTTCAAACCAAAAACATGTTTCCAAATATTCCAAATTCTTCAGCATCATAATAGCGTGTTTGCTTTCTAACATGTACATACATATGTACATATATGCATATATTATATATGTATGTATGCATGTGTTTATGTATATATAAGATGTAAGCCTATTGTGTGCGTGTAATCACACCTTGTATTGCTATTTTTAGCCAACTTTTTATTACTTGTCCCCATTCCTTGTAAGTCTTTACAAGAAATTAAAAGAGAACTAGGCACATATATCCATATGTATGTAAGTTTTCAAAAGCGTTTTTTCTCCTAAAAATATATATTAAATTTTTTTTAAGCTTGTATGTACTTATATACAAAAGTTCATGTTCCATTTAGTGAAGAAAAGCAGCCTAAATCGTATTGTAGAACAGCATAATAAATCATAAAACGATCTATGACTGTGTGAATTGTATGTATGTATGTATGTATGAATATATTTATGTATGTATGTATGAATAAATGTATGTATGAGTATATATATGTATGTATGTATGCATGAATATATTTATGTATGTATGTATGAATAAATGTATGTATGTATGTTGAATAAATGTATGTATGAATATATGTATGTAAGCATGTAAGTAAGTATAACTGCATGTGAGTAGACACGTTTCTCATTGGAAAAGCGTTTAGAATATATTTTCTTTTTGTAAATATTTTCCCATGTAAAAACATGTATGAACATGCATACATATATACATATATCATTCATGCATACACTGCTTCATATAAATGTTCTTATTTGTATTATATAATATAAAAGTACATATGTATATATATATGTATGTATGTAAGACAATATGTTTGTATGTGTATTTTTTAAGTTACCGCGTAAAAAATTATTTGCTCTTCTCTATTTCAAAAATAGTATCGTTAATGCCAGTCTACTGCGCTTATATAAAATACATGCGATTACCGATATACAAGCATACATACATACAGCCATATATATGTACATACCTATATTGTATATGAATAATTGTATGGTCTACGTACCAAAAACAGCGCTGTACAAGTTCTAAAGCGTAATAAAAATGTATTTTAATGAATATTCAAAAACATTCCTTTGAAAGTAAAGTAGTCTACGAATTATAATGCAAGGTACGATTTTCTTAAAGGGCGTAAAAGGCCGTACATTGTACATTGGTACATTTGTATATATATATATACATATATATATGTACAAGCACCCAGTATACTCATGCTTTTATATAAGAAACTCTACTTCCAGTGCATTTATTTAGTTAGTTTTCTAATAAGAACCGCCAGCACGTTGTATTTGAAATTCAAAAAGCGAGTATAAACAAATCGCACTCATTATACACGTACTACTAGTAAATAAATAATTAAAGCTATACATACATGCATACAACTGCACACATATGTATGAATTCGATTCAAAAGAGTAACACGCATAGCAGAGCGAAAGCGAAAGTTCTCATGCGTTATGTATGCTCCTATACACACGAAGTTAAAATATTCTTTTAGTAATTTAATTCAAAATTAATCGCAACGTTCGTTTTTGCAGATAACTTGCGATCACAGTAGTGAGAGTTCATTTTCGTAGAAAGCCACAGCATTAAAACATAACTTCGCCAATATTTACTTTGAAAATATGTCCTTTTTTAATTGCTGCTATACTTGAACCTTTGGTGATGCTCTCTAAGTTGATCAACTACTATGAAAGCACTGTGGTTTTTGGCTGAGCTCAACAGACGGATCAACGTGAACGGAGCGCACCCAAATTTTTGTTTGGCCACGAACTATTAACTCGGCAGCAGTTCTCAAAAGTATTTGACTACACAACAGCAAGATTTTTTAAGGTAATCTTCATAACCGACAAACATATTACAAAGCCTTATCGAAATTATGCAGCTTTTTGGCTCGAACCGCGACAAATTTGCATATGTTTGTTTTGTTGTTGTAATAAAGAATCAATGTCTCGTAAGATGATTAAGTTTTTAGAAAGTAAGGCCGTTCTCTCTGAACTTCGTGCGTACACGAACGAAGCCTTTTCGAAACGTTCCTATCCGAAACGGAATCACTTACTCAAAAACTGCTGGAGTAACAAAGCATCTAGCAAATGCAGTAAATTATCCCGACAGGATTTGTTGGAGTTGATGGAAGGAATGTTGAATTAATGTTTTAATAGGGAGTCATGTACTTCGGAACATACATATGTATGTATGTACATATATTATTGTAAAGAAGTAAAAACGAGTTTTTAAGTAAATTGGGAAAGCTTTCGAACATTTCTGAAATAAACAATTAGCGACGGATTTCTAACACCTATGGGTTTTGTACCTGTAAAAATTCATATGAAAATCCAGCAGGCGTTCGGGTACAGTTTGAATTAAGGCAATCCGAATATACTTTTTTACTTATACTACTTGCATATGCATGACCTCCCGATTAATCACTCGTAAAAGCTTCCATTATGTCTGCGCGCCAGCAATCTACTTATTGCGTTACGGCTGCAGCGGACTCAAATATTACAGCGCTCTCACAGGTTGAATTAAAAATGAAAAGAGAGCAAAAAAAAAAAACAGCAAATGAAAGACGTTGCAGAGATTTCGATATTGTTTTCGAAATTGAATATCGAATGCTAATTGAATGTAGTACTACGGCTATATTTTGGTAAATAGAGTAGCGGTGTTATACGCAGTAGCGTTAAAAATCCAAACGAATTACACGAATCTCAGAAAAGTGAAATATTTAAAGCCGAAACTTTAACGAGAGTGGCACGAATGCAAGCAGGGGGTTATTTTTGGGATACGCTTTTCGAAACGACAACAATAATAACAATAACAACAACCAAAACAACAGCAACATCATGAGACTATCGTTAGTCGCTGGCAACCGCAAAGCAAAGCAAACTGCCGTTCGGTCCATCGGTCGATATGTAGATATGAGCTAACAATCGTAGTAGCGACACAAAAACAAAAATAAACTACAACAGCAACAGCAACAGCAGCGGCAACAACAACCATAAGGAAGTGCGGAATTATAACAAAAATTGTAAAAAGTATTCTAAATAGCATGAAACAAGCGTATGAATGAAACAACAAAAGTCAGACGTCCAACGTCAGACGGCAGCGGCGGTAGACGTTGAAAAAGAAGAAGAACAAGCAAGAAGCAGTAGCAACTACAGCAACTGTTGCGCTGTAGCGGTATTTGACGAGTTTAGCGAACGCGATGATCGTAGTGTTGGTTGGTAGTCGTAGACGTAATGTTGGGTGGGATCGTTCAGATCGTTCAGATCGTTGGGAACGACGGTAAATTTACCAAAATATAAATAAATATAATATATCGCAGAAATTAAAAAAAAAAATTACAAAACAAAAAAAAAAAACAACGAGCGTGCGAAGTGAAAAAAATATTCTTATCGGCGCGCTGCAGTGGCGTATATGTTTAGAACTAATTGCAAAATAAAGAAAAAAAGCAACTAAAACAAAACGGATAAAGTGAACTGAACGCGTAAATTTCGAGCTGCGGAAGCGTGAGGGAGTTATTGTGACACGAAATCGCTGAGCAAAAAGGAAATAATGGTAGGCTTGTGAGCAGGATACTGAAGCTTTTCTTATATGAGTTGCTTTGAGAAAGAGAGAAATACACCAATAATGCTTTTGTATTGTGTGACAAGTGTACATATCGACCTTTAGATATGTATGTATATGTTTTTTTATAATTTTTGGCGGCATTTTAATAAAAACTAGTCAGTTGCGGATGATTTATGATCATATGATATTTATGCGATATGATCAATAAATACGTGCATGTTTTTCCTACAAATATTTTTTTTTATTTTTGTAATTTTTTTTTTGTATTAAAAAATATTTTTTTTATAATTTAAAAATTATTTTTATCAAAAATATATATTTTTTTTAATTTAGGTAAATTAAATATTTTTTTTATTTTTGGAAAAATAAATATTTTTTTTTAATTTTGGAAAATTAATTTTTTTTAATTTAGGAAAATTAAGTATTTTTTTAATTTTGGAAAATCAAATATATATTTTTTTTTAATTTTGGAAAACTAAATATTTTTTTTTTAATTTTGGAATTAATTTGTTAATTATTATTTTATGGAATTTTTGTTTTTTTTGTATTATTAAAATTACTTTTTATTTGTGCTATTGAAAAATTATTATTGAAAACTTATTTTTTTACTCTTGAAAAATTTATATTTTTTATTATTGCAAAATTATTTTTTTATTATTGAAAAATTCAATTTTTTTTATTATGGTAAAATTATATTGTTTTTTTATTGTTGAAAAATTATTTAATAACGCATACATATATGAACAAATATTTATTATATATATACATATGTATGTTGCTTTGTGTGCACATAAACAATATGCAAAAATTTTTTCTATATTTATTTACTTCGATGCAGAACATAAATACGTACACTTATACCTAAACTAAATAATTAAATAATTTAATGACCCACACTTCATAGCTATATTTCTTCTTTATATTTATTTTTTATTTTTTTGCTTTGTTTGTGTTTGGTTTATTTGCGATCACTTTCGCTATCAATTTTTTCACAACTAATCGGAAGAGCGGTAGTGATTTACTTGAAGGATTGAGTTGATTTCCATTTAACAGCTCAAGGCACGTGATGTGTATGTTTGTGATGAAATTAGTAAAAGAAATTCAAAATTTAATTTTTTGGTTTATATGATAATAAATTTGGCTCTCAAGTGTTAGAAAATTAAACTATGAACCCATGTAGACACTTTAGTCATAAAAATCAGCGTGAAAGGTGTAAAGATCCTAGCTTACATCTCACCTTCATTATATCAAAATAGAAGTCTAAGCAGCAAACATTATGGGGAACGAAAACAAACCACAAATCTTAAGAGCGGCAACGTACTTAGATAAAAACAAGACAAAAATGTTAACTTCGGCTACACCGAGGCTATAATATACTGCACAAATACAAAAGATTCCACACAAGAACTTGATTTTGATTGGTCAGCTTGGATGACAGATATTTATATGCTATAGTGGTCCGATCTGAGCAATTTCTTAGGAGATTGCACCGTTGTATTGGACAGTAAACAATGGCTAATTTGAATCTAATTAAATGAAAAAGTTTTCCATACAAGGGCTTGATTTTGAACGTTCAGTTTGTATGGCAGTTAAATCTTATAGTGGTTCGATATCGATATATATCGATATCGGTAACGACAAACGAGCAGCTTCATGGTGAGAAAGGGAAGTGTGCTAAGTTTCATTTGGATATCTTAAATATATAATATATAATAAAAAACATAGTTTATAGGCTCTAACACGTTAACTTCTGGGTATTACAACCTTAACATATATCCTATTTGGGGTATAGAAATTCATTTCTAGTGCCCAGTCTCTTATCCGGGCAGAAATACTTCAAACTGACTAACAATTAAAAGTAGAAGCCTAGTTAAGAATCGCTCTACTTTTTGTTTGGAGCTTTTGTAATAGTTGAGAATAAATTTTTCAGGGTCCAGGGCATTGTAATTTCAGAGGAAATAATAAATTAACCATATATTGCACATATATTTTTAACAACTACGAATATTCATGCTATAATAGAAAATATAAGCATATGTAGACATACAGTTACTGACATTAAAATAGAATCAAAATTTTATCTACAACTTTTTGCACCAAAAAGTGTTACCACAGTCCTTAGGAGAAAACAATTATTTTGTATGGTTAATAAAATTTATTTTAAACATTTCAAAATCAAAAATAAATTATGTGTTCGTTATCAACAGACAACTTTTAAAGGAATTAAATTGACAATAACACAAAATCATGGCACCAAAACTTGTAAATAGTAGATTATTATAACTTATAATGCAAATAAGTTTGAATTTTTTTGCAAAAACTTTATTTGCGAGTACGGCAGCGCACCTTCCATAGATCCATACTGCCACTAAAGCTTTATAGACCGAATTCGGTATTGAATACCACGCCTCTTGGGCTATTTCCTCCTTTCTTGGACATAGCTCCTTCGTATTTCGTGGTTTAATGGGTCCCAATTTTTCCTTTACAATCTTGCACAGGTTTTCTATAGGATTTAAATCCGGTCATAACATCGATTCCTTGATCCTATAGCCAAGTCTTGACCATTAAATGTATGTTCCATGCAGCATAAGGGAAGCATTACATCTTCTAAAATTCTAAGGTAGTGATAAAGATCCATGATTTCCCAAATCCAAAACAGCGGTCCAACTCCGTACCACGAAAAACACCGCCTTCTCATTATCCTATCCATGTTTGAGAGTTTTTCTCGTGTATCGGGGGTTCGTTGCACGATTCTTTGGAGTTCGAACCCAAACTTTACCATCGCTACCTACCATATTTATTTTAGATTCATCGAACGAAAGGAACTTACTCCACTTTTTTGCATTTTCTTCACCGGTCCAATTGATATGCGCTGAAGTAAAAGCACTCCGATTGTTTCGCTGTCTTCTTGTCAATATTGGGACTTTCCGGCACAAACTTCCGAAGAGATTATTTTCTAAAAAGCGACATGCAACAGTTCTTGAAGAAATTTCTACGCCCAATTCTCGTTAGATAGTTACAGAGGACTTGAAAGGAAGGCGTTTTGTTAAAATCTCTATGTAATTGTCATCCTGTGGCATCGTTTCTCGTGCTCGTGCTCTTATTCGAATTTTTTTTTTAGAGGTTTCAAAGCAGTAAACACAAGCCTTTGGTAACTTTTTATAATTTTTGAAATTTTTCTTTGAAGATAACCGTTATTTTGCAATTTTTTTATGAGCTTAAGCTCTGCCGCTGTGTAGTGCCTTCCTCGGCACATTTCTTCTACAAATAATACTTAATTGTAACAAAATGTCAAGTTTTAACAAATATCTTAAATGTTATATACTTACAATATAATTTTTTACTAAATAACGCCTATAATTGATATATTTATTCCTTTATTCTATCTTTTTGTCACGACAACAAATGAACACTTTTGTTTAATTTTAACACAAAGATAACAGCAGCATGTAACAGAGCTACCATCATGGGGTTTGAAAAGGTAAATATTGTAGTAATCGATTACAGGCAAAACGTATTCAAATTTTATCGAACAAATAATATAGATTGTTAATTATTTCGAAACCATCTAATTTGATTCTATTTTATTGTCAGTAACTGTAAATATGTATGTGCATACATATGTACATGTGGGTATACGCGCCTAACTAATATTCTTTTCCATATTTCATTTGTTGTTCCATATGACTTTTGCAAAACATTTTTCCACAGTTGAATGTCTGTATGTATTTAAAACATATCTACATTAACTACGCGCTCTGCACAGCAATGCAACAATAATTCTTTCAATGTACATACATACATACATATTTATCATATGTACAAACACTTGTGTGTTCATATTGTAATATTGCAAAAGCATGCACATACATACATACATATCTACATGCATGAAAATATTATAAATAAAACATTAGAAGCTAATAAAAAGCGCGTCGCATTATAATAAAAAGTAACGCTTCAAACTAGGCAAAGAAAAATATAAAATATAAACAACAACAAAAAGGCAGAGGAATAAATGCTTACCAAGTACGAACATTTGACCTAATATACATACACACATATACATATCTACATATGAACATCTGCATGTATGTATGTATGTAGATATATACATACATCTCAATGCTTGTATGAGCAGATGTGAGTACGTTCACTGATATAACTAACTGACTTTACGCTCTGAATGGTGTTATAGTTGTTATGAAAATGCATAAGAATTTAAATAAATATACATATGTATGTACATACATACGTTCCTACAGTCAAAGCCAAACTTTTATTTATTGAAGGATTTTTGTGTACACTCAAGATCAAATTTGACACGGACTGGTCCATATAAACTGCGCGCACAAATCGAAAGTGAAGCTTTATCTCCTCGTATGTCAATTATTATGTGTTTGGCAGCTGTTTGTTTACGACGCGAACAGTTTGTCTGGCGATTTATACGACTCATACTTGAAGCCCGATTATTATACATACATACATGGACCTTATACAAATAATAAAACTATTGTATAATTGGGAATGTGTTTTTGTAATGAATATATCAAACGCTAGCTGTTTTCGATTCGCCATTTCTCTGTTCGCTATCTTCGGGTCTTGCTCTCTTTTCAAAAAATTTACATTTAAAGGCAACAAAGAAGTTTTCGAGTTGAGTTGTCACCAGCGTATCCGCGAATACCTCATTAAATATCGTTAACTTCAAACCTAACAAGTTTTGTTTTACACATTTTAGACCAGTTTTGCCAGGCAGCAATTCTATATAAGATTTTAACAGGTTAACTTTATTAGCAACTGTCTTTTTATGTGGAATTAACACACTTTTAAGTTATTACAAATATAGTACGTATATAGTAGCTGTGTTCGATTCGCCAATTCTCTGCTTGCTTCTAAGCTCTTGTCAAAAAAAAGTTACATGTAACAACAAAGTTATCGAGTTCAATTAGTGCAAGTGAGTATACGCATACCTCAGTCAAATGGTATAG